GGGTCTGAGGGAGGAGGGGCTGGGGGCCTGGACTCCTAGGTCTAAGGGAGGAGGAGGGGCTGGGGGCCTGGACTCCTAGGTCTGAGGGAGGAGGAGGGGCTGGGGGCCTGGGTTCCTGGGTCTGAGGGAGGAGGGGCTGGGGGCCTGGACCCCTGGGTTCTCCCCTCGCCTGCCTTCTTGCCCAGGCCCGACGCTGTCCTCGGTGCTGAATGAACTGCCCAGCGCTGCTACCCTTCGGTACCGAGGCCCGGGGGTGCTGCCCTGGGGCGCGCTGGAGGAGGACGAGGATGAAGAGAGGAACATCCAGGCCTTCGCAGAAGCCGCCCAGAAGGAGCTGCAGGACCCTGGCCCTTCCCGGGAGCTGCCCTGGCCCATGCAGGCCCGACGGGCACACAGGTGAGGCCTGAGCCTCCATCCCGCCCTGCCTCTCAGAGCTGCCTCTCTGGGGTCCTCTTCCCCGCCTGCGTCTCTGCCTCTGGGGCCGCCAGGCTGCCTCTCCCTGTGGCTCAGCACTAACTTCTTTCCCGCCCGGGCGCCCAATCTCACCGGTCTCTCCCTCCGAGCCTCTCTCCACCGTCACTTTCTCTCCGTGTCTGAAATCCGATTAGTGTTTCTTCTGCTTATGTCCTCCTCTTCCAGTCCTGTCTCTCCCTGCTCCTTTCTCTCCTCCCTCCCTCCTCGAGGGACTTGCAGGGCCCGGTGAAAAGTGAAGAAGCTGCCGAAACCGGCTTGGCTCAGTGGATAGAGTGTCGGCCTGCGGACTGAAAGGTCCCAGGTTCGATTCCGGTCAAGGGCATGTACCAGGGTTGCGGGCACATCCCCAGTGGGAGGTGTGCAGGAGGCAGCTGGTCGATGTTTCTCTCTCATCGATGTTTCTAACTCTCTATCTCTCTCCCTCTCTGTAAAAAATCAATAAAATATATTTTAAAATCAACAAAATATATTTATAAAAAAAAAGAAGCTGCTTCTGTTGTCAAGTCCACAACAGAAAAGCATTAGAAACACATGTGGGGGTGGGGGGACCATTCATGAATGGGGCCCGTGTGGCTACTCTGGTGGCTCTTGAAACTGACCCTTGTTTCTTTCTATAATTCTTTTTTTTTAAATATATTTTTATTGATTTCAGAGAGGAAGGGGGAGGGAGGGAGAGAGAGAAACATCAATGATGAGAGAGAACCATGGATCGGCTGCCTCTTGCACGTCCCACACCGGGGATCGAGCCTACAGCCCGACATGTGCCCTGACTGGGAATCGAACAATGGCCTCCTGGTTCATAGGTCAAGGCTCAACCACTGAGCTATGCCAACTGGGCTCTCTGTTTCTTTTTTAAAGTTGATTTTTAGAGAGAGAGGAAGGGAGAGGGAGAGGGAGAGAAACGTCGATGTGAGATGGAGAGACTGATCGCCTGCCTCCTGCACACCCCCTTCTTGGGGATTAGCCCAAAACCCGCGCATGTGCCCTGAGCAGGATTCAAACGGGCAGTCTTTTGGTGCACGGACGCCGCCCAGCCAACTGAGCCGCACCGGCCAGGGCGTTCTCTGTTCCTTTCTGTGTTTGTTTTGTTTTGCATGTTTACTTTATGATGAGATTCGCCTGCAGGAAACATGATGGACAGACTCAGAGAGTTTCCCTATAGTGAGAGCCCCGGGGAACCCCGCCCATGGGGAGAGGCATTGCAGCCCCTGAAGCACCCCGCGTGCCCCTCCCCTGCCCCCCCCCCTTCCAGGAGAATGCCTTTCCCACGCACACGTGACCCCTCCTGGCGCTTCTGCAGAGCTGGCCGCGGGTTCTGCTTCCCTGAAGGGCAGGGTCCCCCGCTCGCTCTGGGACTGTGTGAATAGAGGCCCGCAGTGTTGGGGTTCTGCCCGCTGCCTGTGCTTAGCGTCACGTGTTTCCTTTTATTGCTGTGGGGTCCGTGTTAGGAGCCACCACATTGGGGGCAGCCAGGTCCTTTCCTTTTCTGTCTCTGACTCTGTTTTTTTCCAGGCAGCGCCACGCCAGGGACCAAATGGCTCAGGGGTCCGGGTCCAGGGTGGCCAACTGGGCCCTGCGGCTTCGGAGGTCCAAGGAGAAGATTCGAGAAGGCTTGCACACCCTGGAGCCCTGGGGGTGGACACTGAAGAGGATCGGGGGTGCGCTGGGCTGGGGTCCTGGGTCCGAGGGAGGAGGGCTGGGGGCCTGGACCCCTGGGTCTGAGGGAGGAGGGGCTGGGGGCCTGGGCTCCTGGGTCTGAGGGAGGAGGAGCTGGGGGCCTGGACTCCTGGGTCTGAGGGAGGAGGGGCTGGGGGCCTGGACTCCTGGGTCTGAGGGAGGAGGGGCTGGGGGCCTGGACTCCTGGGTCTGAGGGAGGAGGGGCTGGGGGCCTGGACTCCTGGGTCTGAGGGAGGAGGGGCTGGGGGCCTGGACTCCTGGGTCTGAGGGAGGAGGAGCTGGGGGCCTGGACCCCTGGGTCTGAGGGAGGAGGGGCTGGGGGCCTGGACTCCTGGGTCTGAGGGAGGAGGGGCTGGGGGCCTGGACCCCTGGGTCTGAGGGAGGAGGGGCTGGGGGCCTGGACTCCTGGGTCTGAGGGAGGAGGAGCTGGGGGCCTGGACCCCTGGGTCTGAGGGAGGAGGGGCTGGGGGCCTGGACTCCTGGGTCTGAGGGAGGAGGGGCTGGGGGCTTAGACTCCTGGGTCCGAGGGAGGAGGGGCCGGAATCCCGACTCAGCAAGGACCCGGGCCTGCCTGCCGCCCCCTGTAGGCCAGTTTGGCGCGGGCACCGAGTCCTACTTCTTGCTGCTGCGCTTCCTGCTGTTTCTCAACGTGCTGGCCTCGGTGCTGAAGGTCTGCATGACGCTGCTGCCCACCTGGCTGGACGGCGGCCCCCCGGATCCCCCGGATCCCCCGGGCCCGGGCCCCTCCTCGCCCTGCGGCTCCTACAACCCCCACCCGCAGGGCCTGGTTTCCTTCTCCGCCCAGCTCTTCAACCTGCTCTCGGGAGCGGTGAGTGCCGCCCCTCCGGAGGCCCAGCTCCCTGATCGCCGCCCACCAGCCCCGTGGTGACCCCCTGCGCCCCTCCCTCCGCAGGGCTTCCTGGAATGGTCCCCCCTCTTCTACGGGTTCTACCCGCCCCGCTGGCGCCTGGCCACCGCCTACCTGTGCTCCACCTTCGTCATCGGCCTCCTGTCCCTGCTGCTGATCCTGCGCCGGTGAGTGACACCCCCGCGCAGACCCCGGGCTCTGGGGAAGGGGGCAGGGGGGCTGTTGTGGTAGAGCCCCCGCCCCAGGAATCCTGAGTCTCGCTCTGGGATCCCTCTCTCTCTGTTTGAGTTGAAATCCATGTTTAAAGTGCTTCCTAAGTGCCGAAACCGGTTTGGCTCAGTGGATAGAGCATCGGCCTGCGGACTGAAAGGTCCCGGGTTCGATTCCGGCCAAGGGCATGTACCTGGGTTGCCGGCACATCCCCAGTAGGAGGTGTGCAGGAGGCGGCTGATTGATGTTTCTTTCTCATCGATGTTTCTAACTATATTTCTCCCTTCCTCTCTGTAAAAAATCAATAAAATATA